CATACACTGTAGGACTTTAGTAGAACCCCTGGCTGCCACCATTAGTTGCCAACAATGTCTCAGGCTGCCTCTGTGGGCAAAAAAAACACATTATATGGGTAATATCCACTTAGTAAGATGGTTGAGATCCTTTGCAGTTCAAGAAATTCAATTACAAGCTGCACTTGCACCAAGAACACTTCTCATGGTCCCTCTGGAATAGCATCATATTCTAGGAAGTGCTGCTGAACCTCTCTAAGTGTGAAGATTACCAGGAAAGCTTTTCCAACCCAGAGATACTCAGAACTCACCTCTTTATCTTAATGTGGCATTTTAAGACAAGGGGCCAGACATCGAAGTTTAGTAAGTGCTCCTACATAATTAGAAAATTATTAATGTCCAGCTTGACAGTGGACAAGAGGGAGGGTCATACTCTCTTCGACTCTGCCCACCTCTAATGCAACATAAGGCAGAAAGCACACAAGCTATGTCTTCTTCAGGATAAATTCAGTCTGGCGACAGCACTGTAACACAGCAGGTTAAATTGCAGGCATCCAGTATGAATGCTGGTGTATGAGTCCCTGCTGCTCCATTTCCAATCTGGCTCTTTGCTAATGAGCCTGGGAAAGCCCCATAAGATGCTGCAAGGGTCTGAGCTGCTGCCACCTACTTGGGAGATTAGATGGGGAAAGAACTGTAGTCTAAATAAACACATTGCATTAATGTCTTACGGTCTTATTCAAATGAAAGTTTTAATCTAGAAAATCAGGATATTAGAAGAAAATCCAAATAAGTATTTCTGTACTATTATTTCTTATGATAAGTCTCCACTTACCTCTGATAACAGTTTTTGCTAAAGCCTCCATATTATCAATCATCCTCACTCAGACAGAACAAGTGTTATTCTGCTTGGTCATGTGGAATGTTTGACAGTCTTTTTGCACACTCTGAAAATGTCAGGCAATGCAGAGTACATATTCTATTTTCCATTTCATCACACCAGAGTACATATTTACTAACACCATGGAGAAAACATTTGCTTCAGCCCCAAGAGGCAACAGTTCAGCTGCAGGGATTTTGAGCCCAATGATTGCGCGTTTCTGTCTTGGACCACTGTTTAACAGAGAACCATATACTGAGGGACCTGCAAACAACTGATATTTTGTTCACAGTCTGAAATCAGACTGCCAGCATGGTCAGGTTCCGGTGGGGATTCTCTGCCAGGGTGCAGCTAGCTGACATCTCATTGTATCCTCACCAGTTGTGCAAACAGGGAGCTAGACCTCTGAACTCTTCTTACAAGGGCACTAGCTCATTCATGCAGACTCTATCCTCAAGACCTAATTACCTCTCCAATGCCCCATCTCCAAATCCCATCACAACTGGGATTTAGATGTCAACATAATGAACTTGTACAGTACAAAAATTTTCAGCCCATAACAGTTTCCATCTCAAAATATGTAGCTTGTAACCTAAAAATAGAGTGACCAACTGCTTTGGATTACCTGAGATTGAGGAGTTCTGCACACATGTGACAGTTAATGCTAAAATTGGGGCAGGCCTAAGTAATTCAGGGCTAAAAACTAGACAGTCCTGGGCAACCCAGGACAGTTGATTATGCTCTGTATGTTCCTCAAGATGATCTGCAGCAGGTTCCTCTCCCTCTTCCCTAAGGCCTCCTACATTCCTCAAATCTGTGCTCTCCTCCCTTGTCCATGTCCTGGTCACTCAGAACCAAGGCTATGAAGCTGATGCATAAACACCTTTATCCGGCCCAGTAGCAACAGCCCTCGAATTTTTAGGCCCACATGATCTGTGAGCTTCTTCCCAGTGATGACACTAAGGTAAAACACTGTCCAAGAGAACCTTACTTGTCCTAAAACTCTGCGGATTGTCCAACAGACATGTAGAAAAGTGTATTAAGGATTCACATTCCAGGACTTCCACCCCAGACTATCTAGAGATGAGGCCTGAGAATCTCCAGGTTGAAAAAGCTGTCTGGTTATTATGATAAGAAGCATCTGAAATCCTAACTGGAATGCAGTGGTCCTATATGAAATATGCTCTTCAAACAGATACAGATTACAGTTAGCTTTCTAGAAGAGGGCAACATGACAATTATCTTACTAGATGAGTCTAATCTATACAACTCACAAAGTTGATATGTTTATGCCAAGACAGACTATTATACTTTGCTTAGACTTTAACTTCAGATAAACACCAACCATTAATAACAACAATCGCACACAGTGTAGACATATATATGTGTGTATCTATATCTATGTATCTATACATATGTGTGTGTATGTGAAGATATAGATACAAAGCTTAGAGCTAGGTTCTACACTTTAAAAAACAGAGAACTCTGGGCCCAGTGTAGTAACCTAGTGGCTAAAGTCCTCGCCTTGCATGCCAGGATCCTATATTGACACCAGTTCAAGTCCCAGCCACCTCACTTCCCATCCAGCTCCCTGCTTGTGGTCTGGGAAAGCAGTTGAGGACAGTCCAAGGCCTTGGGACCCTGTACCTGTGTGGGAGAAGAGGAAGCTCCTGGCTCCTGGCTTCAGATGGGTTCAGCTCCGGCCATTGTAGTCACTTGGGGAGTGAATCATTGGATGGAAGATCTTCCTCTCTGTCTCTCCTCCTCTCTGTATATCTTACTTCCCAAAAAAATAAATAAATCTTAAAAAAAAAAACAGAAAACTCTTTCCAAGCAAGTCTAAACTTGTATGGACTTACAGACATATGTGCCAATTTTACATAATCACTCCTTCACCAGGGACTCACACACCAAAAAAGCTACAGTACCAAAGTATTCAATTGTTGTTCAATAAAATCAGAAAAGAACAAAAGCTCTGAACAAAAATTTCTTCTAACTTGGGCTAGAAAATGTATTACTTCCAGGGCCAGTGCAATGCCATAGCAGGTTAATGCTTCTCCTGTGATGTCAGCATGCAAAAAAGGTGCCAGTTCATTTCTGAACTGCTCCACTTCTGATACAACTCTCCGCTTATCGGTTGCAAACATATTGCAGAATGGCTCAATTCCTTGGGTCCCTGAACCCATGGGGGAGACCCAGAGGAAGCTCTCAGCTTCTGGCTTCAAATTGGCTCATCTCATTATTGAGGTCATTTGGGGAGTGGGCCAGTGGATGGAGGACATGTATCTCTGATTTTCCTTTCTGTAACATCTTCCTTTCAAATACAAATCAATCTGTTAAAAAAAAAAAAGTATGGCTTTCCCCAAGAGTTCTTCTTAGAAGTCAATGAGACCAAAGTATCTAATAATTTAAATAAAACATCTTATAAGCATCTGTCATTTAGGTAGTATCTTTTTAGGTCCTGAAAATGTTGATTTTTTAAGGATGTTTCCAGATTCTGCTGAAAATGCTTTTGTATGGTTCAGATTGATTTTGTAAAGCCCAGCATTTTACTATCTAAAAAGAGTTTTCTATTTATTTATACTATCTGACACAATATGGCTTACTACTGGCTCTTTTTTATGATCACTAAATACACTCTATTTTCCACTTTATGAACAGTACTAATAAACTTTGTCAGAAACCTGTTATCCAGGACAAAATGCAAAACTACCCTTAATATTTACAGAGAACTAAAGAAAAAATTTCCAAACCAGCAACATATATTGTATTGAACAATGGTTTCCAGGTATCTGTGCGGCTCACTCACAACATCAGATAACTCAAAAATGAGTTTACATTTGGCTGGAGACTTCCTTATGTATTGCGTATACTGTTTTCAGGGAGTGGAATACAAAGCTTAGGAAGAAAAATGGTTTGTATAATCATATGACTTAAATTCCTAATTAGCTAGACATTGGTTCTTGATTTATTATCCTTGCAAGCCATCCAAATACAATAACCAACAGAGTAGGAACCCTCACAGTCAACAAAGACAGCCAATTGGTCAACTACATTCAAAGGGAACTGACTAAACACTAATGAGCAAAGCCATATCAGGCCTAATCTCCTTAGTACAAATAATATTCACTTGTAAGTTTAAATAATAGTTTAAATAATGCAAATTGCATTACACTATTGATCTTGAGAAGTTTTAAATAGCCACTCATTTACCCATTCCAATATTGGGGACACCAGTTTTTGCCTACTAAGACTACATGGGTTGTTTCAAATAACAGTATATAATCAATGATTCATTTAAAAATTTTAAAAAATGAATCATTGATTATATACTTAAATAGACTGCCTTTGTAAATCTCTTCCTTCAATTCCTAGAGCATAGGGTCTACCATGAAGCAAGCTAACCTCAGGACATTTCTTCTGTCTACCATAAATAAGTCTTCAAGACTTATGTAAATTATAAATTATGTAAAATTACTTTCCTGTTTTCTTGGGAGCATTAAATTGCCCTCCCTTGGCTAACCTATCTGCTATTTGCAGAATTAAGATCAGAGATGGTTAAACCAAACAAAAAATGAGAGACCCAATCTTAAGACATAGAAATTAATGCAAAACAAAAAATGAAAGAGCGAGATGATGTATAATTAAAACTATCAGTGTAGTATTCACCTCTACTTTCCCTGTAATGATAGCTCATCTTATAAGCATGTAACAGAATGAGAAGCAGCTGTATCAATACTCCTCCATTCTTTAATATCATGAGAATACTGTGTTTCAAAGAGAACACAGGCTATCTAGGTCAAGCAATTAAACAAACAAGTATACTACTCAACTCTCACAAGCAACCAAACAGCAAAACAAGCATGGGAAGTTGTGATGGGTGCTTTACCTGACTCCCATATACAGAAGTCTGATTCTTGGTTGCAGCTCAAGAGCAGGTCTGTGTTACAGCAAGTCCCAATTTCTCCTGAACCCTCCCTCTCTGCTCCCTCAACCTTGCCTCAGAAACCCAGAAGCACCTCTTAGGATCTCACATTGCACCAGGCAACCTTCCCCTTAGTGGCCCAAGTTGAGGGTGATGCAGTAAAAATCCGAACTACCTAGAGTCCCATTTGGGACGTCTCCCAGCTCTGCCTCTTACCTGCAGAATCCGCCCCATCAGCAGGCACATTCTGGGGGGGCGCTGGGGCTGGCTCCTTGACTCCATGCACCTGAGCAGCTTCTTCCTGGGTTGCCAAAAATGCAGAGCACAGATCAGATTCAAGGGCTTGAAGCTTCAGCAAAGAATTCTGCCAGCAAAAGCAAAACATCAGGCTTGCTAAGTAAATGCCTAACACACAACGGTGTGTCTGCAGCTCCAGCAGGCACCTTTAGTCAGCACTAGGCAGAAACAGGTTACAGCCACAGCTGCTTCAGGAAAAGAGCTGGCTGCCTGGATCAGATATGCATTATGCCACAGGCAGCCTCGGGTTCTGCCTCATTTAAATCCTAACACAGAGATTATCTATGACACATGGGGCTGGCGATTTCGTCAGCAAGAGACGCAGCATCTGGAGAACCAATCTGAGAAGGTATCTGCTTCCTGGGCGGTAAGGCTACATGCACTGCAAGTGTTTCATTCATTGTGCTAACATCAGGAGCAGACAACATGACGTCCCTCCCAGCCTACCATTCATAAAAAGACATCATCCCCACCCCACCCCCGCCCCCTCCAGTGCAAAGACTGCAGCAAGCTGCAGTGCACAAAGAGTTACTGCTGCAGAGTGGCTGGCACTACCTGGGAAGGACTTCTGGGCTCCCCTACCCCACATGTACTTGTTGTTTGTGTTCATGTGTGTGTTGTGTGTGCATGCACATGTATGCAGGTGTATTCTAAAGTTACTCCTCTCACAGGGGAAGGCTCAAACTGCCTTGTATCACGAACAGGGTCCCAGGAGACAATCACGGTTGCTCAGCATAACCCAGCCACTGAGAAAGAGGCAATTTGTCTTTTGTAGCTCCTGGCATAATCCTCTGCCCACTCCATTTCTCACTTTGAATTTCTCCCGTGGTTCTTAATCAGAGCCAAGTCACACAGCCTGACGCACACATCCTGCCATGATGCAGATGCCCAGTAAGTCAATTCCCCTTACCAGGTGAGAGTGAGTCATGCCAGCCAGAGGAGCTCAGAAGGTCTCCGCAGCTCTTATGCCCACCTGGTTCTGACAAGGCAGCCACTTGTGCTTTCCCATTATAACCCAACATAGCAACCCCCTGCAACCGCAAGCCCACACACATTTCCCTCACACCCCAACTCCTTATCCCATATATCCTACAGCCACCCTCACCTACCTCTCACTTTATACCCTACTCTACATAAACCGACATCCACACACTCTCATTGTCAACCTCACATCCTTATTTTTAACTTCTTACACACACCCTATCCCCATAAATGGGCCCACCTCCATCTCAGACACATGGTATGCCCTCAACATATCATACTCAACTACAAACACTCTTACCACTCTCACTCAACCCCATTCTCCACTATATTCCACAGCTAAACACTCAACTTTCACACAGCCCTCCCCTACTTCCCACTCTCAGTCCTATTCCAATAGACTTCTCCATCCCCGACTGTCCCCAATATTACCCCGTCTCATATACACCCATACCCTTTACACCCAATCGCCTAAACCTCAGTCAACTCTACACACACAACTCCACTTATCTAGCTCACTCCCTCTTACATGGATATTCTGTTGGCCATTCTGAAAGCAGCAGGCATCTGGGAAGGTCTCTTCTCCTACACACTAAAAGACAGAGCCAGATATGACACAAACTTTGCAGTGCTCAGGAGTGGACATATACACAGTAGTGGGATTTTTGGACGAAATGATGATTTTTCTTGCATTTCAAGAGAATCTGTCGCACTGTTTTCCATAGTGGTTGCACCATTTACACACACACAGCAGTATTTCCACATCAATAGAGTAGAAAGTTTGCTCCTTTTGAGAGATCACTCTGATTTCTACAGTCCTCCAGCAGGAAGTTTGCCTGAAGTAGTTTTTTGTTGTTATTTCTGTTGTTTTGTACGCCAGTTGCTTTGTTACTGAACAGTAAATCCTTCTAGAAGCTTGGTGCCCTGGTTCCTTCTGTGCCTTTTATCAACAACATTGGGATCTTACTCAGCTTCTGGGAAAACATCCCAGGAAGGAGGAAAATGTCATTAAAATTTGCCTGGGCTCAGACAGGTACTTAATCTAAGCTGTAGGCTCTCAGATCAAAACAAACAGGCACACCTGTATACAAAAGTTACTCAAATAGCCAAGAGACATAGTCTGCATGTGAATTAGGTCTCTCCAAAATTTGTAGATGAAGGTCTCATAGCAAACATGACTGTACTTGAAGATAGGGTGTTTAAAAGAGCTATCAAAAGGCTGTGAAGGAATGTTCCTAATTTGATAACACTGGTGTCTTCATAAGAAAAGAAACCTCAGGGTGTGTGCACAGAGGAAGGACCACAGGGTGACCCTGTCAGAGGACCTCCATTTGCAAGCTAAGGAGAGAAGTCTCAAGAAAAAGCAATCCTGCTGGCACTTCGATCACGGACTAACCTCCAGAACTGTGAAAAAAAAGACATTTCTATTGTGTATGCCACCCAGTCTGCGATATTTTGTTATGAAAGCCCCAAGACACTAATAAAATAAGATGAAAGCAACCCAAGTGCCCACTGATAAGAATGAATAAATAAAATTTACTATACACAAACATCAAAAAAGCTTGGCACATGGTACCACACAGAGATACTCTGGGGATACTATACCTAATTAAACAGGCTAGTCCCAGAAGGACAGACATTATAAAATTTCACTGACATAAAGTGTTTAGATAAAAAAAAAATTCATAGGAACAGGAAGTAAAATTACAACTTCCAAGAGGGGAGTTAGTGTTTAAATGGGTATGAAGTTTCATTTGGGAAGATGAAATGGTTCCAGGAGATGGATGGTGATGACAGCTGTACAATATGAGCATGCACTTCGCGCCATTGAAGTGCACATTTAGAATTTGGCAAAGTATAGATTTAAATGTAATTTGTAACTATTTTAAAAAGAATGAAAGGCAAAAATTCCTTTTATGAAAAATGCTATTACGTTAATTTTATCTTTCGTCCTTTTTTAAAAATTGTGGAAGGGACTGGTGTTATGGCAAAGCAGCAAGCTAAGCCTCCAACTGTGACATTCACATCCCATATGGGTCCTGGTTAGAGTCCTGGATGCTTCGCTTCTGATCCAGCAACTTGTTCAAGTGCCTGGGTAAAGTAGCAGACTGCAGGCTGTGGTATTTGGATCTCTGCCCCTGAGGGAGACCTGGAAGAAGCTAAAGGCTTCTAGCTTTAACCAGGCCTGGCCCTGGCTGTTGCAACTACTTGTGCAGTGAATCAAAAGGTAGAAGATCATCTCTCTCTCTCTGACGCTGCCTTTCAAATAAAAAACAACAACAACAAAACTCTCCCTGAGGTTAAAAAAAAAGTGGCAACCTGTCTCAATCTCACCATACACCTGCACTTTTTGCAAAGTTCAGGAAGGTACGTCCTGCCTGTTCCTGCAGGATGTCAGGATGTCAGTCCTACAACACACTGTGTACTTGATGCTGTACATGGAAGACAAGAAGGCCGAGCAGAAGTAACCACACATCTGTCTTTCACCAGAGCCATTCTCCCTTATTCATTCATTCCCTGGTTACTACCAAGCATTTAGTCAGCAGCACAGGACATTCTGAAGTGCTTCTGAACAGAGGGTGGGACTTTGAATATCCCCTAACATCTCCTGGTGACCAAGGAAGCCAGGGTAGGTGTGGGGAGCACTTAACTCTACCCCCTCCTTCCAGTGGATGGCAGGAGACACACAGCCTCTCCTACCAGGACTGAGTCCCACAGAATCACCTGGAGAAGGACCATAAAGGGTGAAGGGCTCATGCCCCACAAGGTTCATGGAGGTGAATTTAGGTGCACAAGGAGCTTCACTGGACTCTGAGGTTGCTATGTGGTTTCCACTCTATAAATAGTAAATAACAATAGAAGGCAATGGGAGAACCGTGAACCTGGGCACAGGGTAACAATGCCATCACTTCTGCATGTGTCATGACTGATTTCTGACCTTTCAATGAAAGGACATGCTTGTCCCTCCACAGACATGAAGGAGGATGTTGAATCCCTGGGGGTCCTAATTCCCACCTTAACTTAAATTTCCCAAACTTCCCTTCCCCATGAAGCTGCTAGTCAATCACTCAGGACTAGCTGCCAGAGCTTTCCCAGTTTTATGTCCAAAGTCTCCAGGGATGAATGTCTAGAATTTTCAGGAAAGTTCGATAAGGGCTAGTGGATTCTCTAAAGGACCAGGAATACCTCTGCTTTTCCAACTCTCTTGTCTGGTTGAGAATACAGCCAAAGAGTGAAACATAGGTGTCATTTTCTTTAAAGCAAACTTTTTTCTTTTTACATAATGGGAGAATATTTTACTTATTTTAGAAAATACTCTACTCATTTTTGCTTCTCTACAATTAACCAAGTACCACTTTAGTTGGGTTGGAATAGAGAACACCCACACTGACTAGATGCTTCAATGCTATTTTAAGGTGCCTTTTTGTGCAATTCCTCAGTTACAGAGCAGGGACAGCTAATGTTTAGTCTCCATGAAAGGGTTTAATGTCCCGTTCCTATCCCTTTATCTAAGAACTGAATATAGATTCTTTATAGTGATTTAAAATGAATCAAGTAAGAAATCTGGACAAAACTGGGAAAACAACTGGATCCAACAACATTCCTATTTCTAGTTAGCAGTCATTGAATTTTCACATTCCGAGTACGTTCTCCACACCCACACATACACCACACCCGTCTTCCATCTGCTGACTCACCTGCTCCCTGCTGCCACCTCCCCAGACTCTATCAGCTGTTACTGCTCCTCTGTGAAATTTCCAGATTACTAAGCCAGTTATGATGACCTTATCCAAACAGTGTACCCCTTTTACTCAGTCTTGTTTATTTCCATCTTGCCAATGAGTAGACTATATAATTATAATGTGTAACTTTAATGTCTACTTGCTTATTGCCTCTTGTCAGTTCCATTAGGGCTGGTATCAGGCCTCATTGTTCACTGCCATATCTGAATACAACGTGTAAAACAAGAGCCAATCCATAAGAAAACTGCCATTATAGATTGGCTCAATTCTCTTGCCTCTTTAGCTAGTGTTTCTAAGTTGTAGGGTAGGACACTGCCCTGTGCATCCAATTTAAAGCACCTGC